ATGTATATTGTCACCTTGCTTATTTAATTTATATGCAGAGTACATCATGCGAAATGTTGGCCTGGATGAATCACAAGCCGGAATTAAGATTGCTGGATGCTCCTTGGGAGGAAAGCGATGGCGAACCTAAACAACATGATAAAAAGTAGATACATCACCCTGTCAACAAAAGTCCGCATGGTCAAAGCAATGGTATTCCCAGTAGTCATATATGGCTGCGAGAGTTGGACTATAAGGAAGGCCGAGCGCCGAAGAATAGATTCTTTTGAACTATGGTGCTGGAGAAAACTCTTGAGAGTCCCTTGGACTGCAAGAAGATCAAATCAGTCAATCCTAAAAGAAATCAACCCTGACTGTTCCCTGGAAGGCCAGATAATGAAACTGAAGCTCAAATATTTTGGCCACCAAATGAGAAGGGAGCACTCACTGGAGAAGACCCTGATGCTGGGAAAGATTGAAGGTCAAAGAAGACTGGGATGGCAAAGGATGAGATGGTTAGACAGTGTCATAGATGCAATGAACATGAAATTGAGCAAACTTCAGAGGACGGCGGAAGACAGGAGGGCCTGGTGTGATCTTGTCCATGGGGTCGCGAAGAGTCGGACTCGACTGTGCGACTGAACAACAACAAAAGTATATATATAATACATGGTATTTCTATGGTAGTTCCAGGAGTCAACGTGCATTGAAGTGCAGGTACACGTGCAGGGAATGCCCAGTGTTCTATGACCTGTGTAGATTAGTCTCATTCAGCATAATTCTGCAAGTCATGAGAAGGGGCAAGAGGAATGACATGGGCCCCTGAACCTTGCCAAAGACTCTGCCGCACAAAAACAGCCATAAGTGAGGAAAGACTCCTGAACAGATAGCACTAATTTCTAAAGGAGGAACAAAGTTCTCAGTTTCTCACCTCAGCATTGATTAAGTGTGTCGGCAGAGACTGCAGGAGCACCACATACCTTAAAAGCTTGAAGTAAATTCTGCCTGGGAGGATATCCGGTACGGCGCAGCAACGGGTGGTTTCTCGGCGGCTCTGAGACGCCCGATCCTTTTACGCTCCTTTTGGAGCCCTCCCGGTTGCCGAGGGCTCTGTGGCGGCTAGTTGCAGAGGGCTCTGTGGCAGCCCCTCCCAAATCGGCAAACGGGGGGGGTGTCCGCTACTGCCCTGAAGCGGGAGTGTTCTACGGATAGAACATGGACGCCATGTTGTAACAAGCTGCGACCATCTGCTTTTTTTTAACTTTGGTGGGATTTATAAATGAAATAGAACAAAAAGAACAAAGCACATCGTAAAAAAAAGATCAGCACACGTAGGATAACGAGAAAGGCATTTGGTGTCGGACTAAATACCCCAAGTAGTTAGCTCCAACTTTAAGAAAAACAGCCGGGAACTGGTCAGGAGCAGACGTCGTTTAAAATGGAGGGGGTAAGAAAAAAGTCTCCTTTTGTCTGAACTGCTGGTGTTTGTTAGGAATGAATAATGCAACAAATTAAAAGGCCTTGTGAGAACTGAGAGTTCGGATAGACGAGAGACTGTTGTGAAATGGAGGTGGGAATAGAAGAGGAGGAGTTCGATGCAGACACACTAATTGGAGATCTAACCTGGGAACAATTTTCAAACTTTTTGAGGCAAGAAATCAAGCAAGCAGTTAAAATTGCTTGTAATAACCTGGTGAAAGACTATCAAAATACAATCCAAGATGAAAATATAAATGAAAATCAACATCAACAAGCCCTAGGACCTGCAGAAGAACAAAGTGGTATTCGAGAGAAGACGAGAGAATCACAACATAGCAACTTGACTTCAGTGGAAA